AACAGACAGTCCTGTGAACCCGAGAATTCTCAAAATCGGGCACGACGTAGGTGGGCACGCCCTTTTTATACCAAATTCACCTATCGCACCACGGGAAAGGTGAATGACGAATTCGCCATTCGTTTTAGTCGCGTGCTCGTAAGTCCTGGTCTGCAGGACATCTACATCTCCGGACATCCTTGCTGATAGGATCGATTTTCATTTTTGATTTTATCCCTTATTTCAAGTTCCCTCTACAATTAGGCAGTGCTGGGAATAAAGTGAAAGACCTCCATTCAGAGTGGTCACTGCACTGGTAGAGTAGAATATCATCCTTTAAAGAATCCTCTCGTGAAATCTAATAGTCTAGAGCAGATGATGAAAATTTGTCGCCGAGAAATTCCCTTACCCCGTGATGAGATGAAGCATTGACTTGTCCTACATACCTAGCTTCATCCCAACAATCCACAAGGTGCTCCCCGCAACCCCCCGCAACGCAGGGAGGCCTAGAAGTAGTCCGGGTCCGATTTCTTTACCCGGAGGCTTGAATTTCTCAACACATGTGAAAACCTGAAGCTGATAGCCAGTGATTGGCCCGACTAACTGTGGCCAACCTTATCGCTTATGCACACGGCACAGGTTTAACGACTAGGGTCTCCACTAAGTTTCAATCACGAAATCGCACGCAACCACTCCACTTAGATTCGTGCTCGATTTCTCAGCAGTTGTAACCTGTATATATATGTAACTGCGATATAAGGAGGCGGCTTTTGTCATTAAGTCAGAGCTGCGTCAATCACCATTCCCGATATCCGAAACGGATTTGATGTCTCCGGTGCATGCGATACTAACTCCCAATATCCACAGTGGTTGTCAGCGCCCACTAACTAGTGCACTAACTTCTTTCGGTATTAAAAGTTAAAACCAACTATCAACCACTCAAGCTGCATGAACCGACACTGAGCGAGACATATCATGAAATTAAAGCAACCCCAACCATCAAGACGAGCACGGGTGCTTGATGAGCTGTGTCTAGCAAGGCGTCCCCTCTTCCTTTGAAGTACAGATACTTGCAGTTGCATACAAGCATTCACAATCGAATGCCAACTTGCAAAAGGTGCTCTAGGTGTCTACTAGCTATTGACTAGATGTATCATGAAGCAAAAGATTGACTGGAGAGTGGCAAAATTTGCATATGGAGTGCTTACAATTGGACAACAAATACCCTGCGCATTGCACATAACAGTTATTGGGATACGTACCAGGAACTACAATTCATTGGCTGACAAGACTATTTATTTAGCCTAAGGGGGTTAGTTGTCTTAAAGAAGCACGCACCATTATTGGAGGCGCAAAAGAAGGCGTTATTCGACCAAAGAATTTCTACGGAATTGATATGCTTCTTCGATGGAGCGCAAATCTTTGGAATCGGGATCCATGCGACCATCGAATCGGCACATCACAGTCTATATCATCAAGAGACATTTTCAAGGGTTCAAACTGCGCAGTTTATGACTACAGATCAACTAACTCAAGATTTCAGCTACCAGTATCTGCACGGGTCAATCAGTAATCATCAGTCCAGATCAACCTCAAGGACCGCGATAATCTTCATTCGCTGTTCTGTCGTTAGTAGAGGCGGAACCAATGTATTCCGTGAATAATGGTTTTCGCCGCATTTTGAAGGCTCTGAATCTGGGCCACCCGCGTATATATCCAGATCCGATTTGCAGGCTTAAGACTCGAATTGGCTCCAATTCGAGTCTAAAGAACACTTGGACATAAGCAATTTTTTAATCATGAAATATCACTCGTGCTGCGACTAAGCGACTCTCGGTAAATTTAGAGACTACAAGTACCCTATTCTCAAGACTCCAAAGCCTAAATGCAAGAGGCGTTAGTAGACGGCGTATCCACGTTTAACATTTTTACCTCAATGCGTAGGTATACACGTTCTAAGAGAGAGAGGGAGACACATAGTCTCCACTGGGACTGGGTTGACCCTTGGTTTCTCCAACATATATGCATGATTCATGTCCTGGCATACACGTAGTACTTGAGTATGTGGCCTAAGCGGTCAACGAAGATTTGGGATGTAGAATACACGGCATTTCTATGAAAATATTATAAGGCCACTGGAACATTCACGGTTCGTTAGGCGTTAATCACAGGGGTTAATTTTTTAAGATAACGGTGGCCGGAGCAGGTCTGGACGCGACAGCAAAACTAGCAAGTGATATATGTGTCCATTGCAACTCTGCAACTACCAAAGGCACTACGTTGCGTCTTAACACTTTAGCTATCCTCATCTATTCTATGACTATAAATTGACCTCCTATCCTACCAATGGATCAAACCTCCCGCTTGTCGATTACACATGTAGAGTGGCGAGTGATCACTCATGCACAGGAGTGAGTTTTGGCAGTTAACAAAGAAAAAGAGCAGCTGCCTCACTCGAACAATATTAGATCGTCCAACTGACCTTGAGAAGGGCCGTTCAAAAATACATAGTGGCTTCTAGCAGAAAGTGAAACTTGATAAGATGACATCTATCAATCAAACCACATTCCCAAGATTTATCTCTGAATGCACTCATAACAAAGTTTGATCAGGACTCCGCATTATCTGATGCAGATAAGGCTGCATGTGACAACGTCTTTGTTGTTATTGCACGCCAAGACCGTAGCTGTCTGCTGTTGAGCCTCAACACCAACAAACGTCTCGCGACCCACCAAAATAGAGTGAGCCCGGGAGAGAGATACATACATAAGCAAGAGAAACAAATCACCACCACACATTCATCTCTCTTCTCCAGGATTATATTCCTCGTCTCCACATTCCAAATACCCCTCGCCTTATAATACTCTACCATCATGTCTCTTTTCAACCGCATCAACACGTCCACCCCGGCCACACCATCACTTTTGTAACCAACCCCCCTCTGCCCCTCGCTCACGAGAGATTGATTGATACTAACGTCATATCCATCTACAGTGGGACCGCAAACTCACAACCTCAGCAAACCCCCTCACTATTCACCTCCACCTCCACTCCAGGAGGCGGTCTTTTCGGCGGCGCGTCAACCTCAAACCCACCTGCCGCCTCATCCGCCCCCGCTAGCGGCGGGTTCTTTGGAACACCTCAACAGGCTCCGGCCTCATCTGCAGGCGGAAGTCTCTTCTCTCCCGCGCCAGCAACAGCGCCAGCTACGGGTGGTGGCCTATTTGGCGGGGGGGCAACTACTTCTGCGCCTGCGACCGGTGGGTTATTTGGAGGCACCGCGCCGGCTACTACCAGTGCTCCGGCCGCAGGTGGAGGCCTGTTCGGTGGTACTGCTCCGGCCGCAGGTGGAGGCCTGTTCGGTGGTACTGCTCCGGCAGCAGCCACAGGCGGTGGGTTATTTGGGACGCCGGCGCAAAAGACGGCTGGGTCGCTTTTGTGGGTATTTCCTTGCCGCCCGGATTGGGTGGAGTTGTTGAGAAAGTTTGAGCTGACTTGGGGGTGCTTGATGTAGTTCACCTGCTCCGGCTACTGGCGGGAATACCCTTAACACGGGAGGTGGTTTCGGGCTAGGATCGAGTACGGCGCCGAAGCCGAACTTGTTTGGAGGGGCGACTACCGTACCGCAGCAGCAACAGGGACAGCAGCAGGGACAGCAGCAGCAGCAAAACACGGTCCCAGCGGCAACAGTTGATATCACCAGACTCACACCCACAACACGATTTGGCGATTGCCATGAGAGTGTCCAGCAGGAGCTTGAACAGCTAGAGTAAGCTACTGCCATTCCCCTGAGATTGTATAGCATACTGACTGGGCTGCTATCGCACTTAGGAAACACATCCAAGACCAGATCCGCGCGGCTCAAGAGCTCAGTGCCCTCTTCCCAAGTCATCGCGCAATCGTCGAAACTATCCCCTCCGACACCAAAGTCCTCGCACATAAACTCTCCACTACCAAGTCTTTCCTCGCCGCCGACCAAGCCGCCCTTCAGGCTGCTCAACAACACCATATTGCGGACAACGAGGCCGCAACGCTCTCGATCCGTTGCCTTGACCTCTTCCGCCTCCCGCCACAGCAGCGAACTCAGTACTTCCAGCGCTCTGAGCAGGAGAACGAGGTCACCAGTAACGGCCCCATGATCGCGTACTTCAACAATCATGCTGCAGGCATGGAGAAGAAGCTCCGCATCTTCTTGGAGAGTGTTGGAGAAGTCGAGGCGAGCTTGCGGAGTGTAGAGCAACAAGCAGCCATCGGCGCTAGTAGTGCGGGCATCAATGGAGAGGACCTGATCGCCATGACAGGAGGCGTCGGGGGAAGACAGGATGCCAGAATGCTGAATAGGACGCTCAGGGAGTTCAACGACGCGTTGAAAGATGTGAGTGCCAGGATTGTAGATGTGAAGGATGGGTTGAGGGAGTTGAAGGCTGGGAGGAGGTAGATATCAAAATATTAGTATGCGTGTTTTCCTTCTTATTCTTCTGTTTCTCTCTATTTCTTTTTTTCTTTTTTTTCTTTCACTACCCTTTAAAGATGCGCTGGTACGGGCGAGATAATCAATGATTTTGTGGTTTTCTCTTTTTTCTTCTCGTGGCATTGATTAAATTTGTGCGTGGGGCTGGTGGTGTGTATGAATATCCGATGATGGGTCCTGACATAAAGTTTGAATGAAGCCGGTTCCGTGCGCGGAGACATGTGGTATCACTCGCACGGCGTTTTGCATCCTATCATTCGCTCAGAACTGGCTGTGTGGCATGCTGCATGGACCATTAATTATGCGTGATCGAGACCAGTAAGACGTCTTATTAAATATAACGACTGCTGTCTGTAAACACCCTCTACGCCTACCAGTTGCCAAATCACTACAGCCAATTACTACACGCAGTCTCTCCCGTTCATTCGTATCAGCCACTACCACCACCACTATGTAGCTATCGACTATCGACTACCACTAACTAGCCCATCCCGACCCCCCCCAAAAAAAAAAAAAAAACCCCCCTCTCACCATGATACACCCATCCTAACTACCAACTCCCCCCTCCCCGCACCATCTTCTTAAACAGCACCCGCAAGCGCCTATACCCCCTCTCAGCGCGCTCCCGCTTCTTGACGAGGTAGTGCAGCAGAATGGCCTTCTGGGCCGCCGGCGGGACCCCCGTCTGGTGCCAGATGTCCCGTGGGTGCAGCCCCCGCAGTCGCAGGTCGATGGCGGCCGCTTGCTGCGCGCGCGGGTAGACGTGCGTGTGCGCGGGGGTCGTCGGCTTTTTGAGGCGGGATCGGGGCGTGGTGTGGGCGTGGGCGTGGGCGTGGGCGTGGGCGTGGGTGGTCATCGTGCTGCTTTGGGGGGTGGTGGTGGGTTGGTGGTTGTTGTAGGTAGGTGTGGGTAGGTGTGGAAGATTGGAGATTGGAGATTCGGATTGGAGTGCTGGTGGTAGGGGGGTTGCGCGGGTTGGGGCTTAGCGGGGTGTACCCTGTCACTGTCACTGTCACTGTCACTGTCACTGTCGCTGTCGCTGTCGAGGTGGGAACGCGCAGAGCGGGTATGGATGGATGTAGGTGTAGTGTTTGGTGAGGAGGTTTAGTATACAGCCGGTGTTTAAGAGTGGGTTGATCTGGGTGTAATAAGAATTTATTACGGTATAATGTTATTTGTTTCGTTTGTGAGCACCACCATTGTGTCGTGGTGGGTTCTAGCAAATGAGTGATTTGAGTATGGCCATCTTGGGCCCTGAGATGAGTTCGCTGTGTATCAATTGTAGATGCATGGTGTGTCACTCGGTGTGAATGAGGCTTTCTTCCGGGGGATGGATATCACGATGTGGCAGTCGAGTGGTGGTGGAAGTGATGTAGCTGCAGCACATATGTCCGGTTTGGCTCAGGAAATTGAAGACTGGACCCTGGGACTACCTGCTCTTGATCAATCCATCCCAACTGCCTTTGTAGAATAGCTCAGAACACCCTCCTCATGATATTCCCCGGATGCCATTCCCCAGCAGCAATTGGCCCCGGGCCTCCCTCCAGTGCCCTTTTAGTTTTGCTACATCGCCTTTGCTGCTTGTGCCACCACACCGGCTGCAGTGCGGCTCAACACGCCAAGCCAAGCCAACGCCATCCGCGCCGAGCATCTTTGTTGTGACGACAAACTAAAGGACACACACAGCTCCCCGTCCTCTCTACATCTCCCTCTGCACCCCCTCTCCAGTGAGAAACACCATTATACCACAGCCATCACAGCTCTCTCTCCACCAGGCACAATATCACACGAACAGGACGCAGCAATGGACCAAGTCGACGAAGACGAGTTCTACGGCGACACCACCACCACCACCACCACCGCCACCACCACCACCTCCACCCCCGCGCAGCCAACGCCCCCCACAGTCCCCCAGTCCCAGGCGCAGAGCACGCCGGCAGTGTCGACCCCCGCTGCAGAGACCCCACTGGCGCTTCCAGGCCTCCCGGGATTGACCGCTTCGCTGACACCAGGGGGTAATGGCGGAGACACGCCGATGACTACCGCCGGCGCTGATGAGAGCCTCGAGGAAGGAGAGGAAGAGGAAGAGGAAGTGGAGGTGGAGGATAGCGATGATGTATGTTTCTCTCCGCCGCCACTGCCAGCTGCCCGCTTGCTCTCTACGGTTGCTCTATATGGCTGCTAACAACGGCGCAGGAGATCGAATTCGTGATCGAGCGCAAAGACGGCACCCGCCCCGAACCCCCCCCACAGCCCTCGCGCTACAACCAAGTCCGCATGGCGCCCACCCGCCCGACCCCCACCGCCCCCTCCGCGCACCCCACGCCCCCCACCGCCCCAGCCGCCGCCGCGCGCACCACCACCCCGCAACCCCCCACCGCGCCACCCCCAACCTCCACCTCAAAACTCGACCTCGCCGCAAACCCCGCCTACAACGGCCACCCCATCAAGACCATCCCCCTCGACTCCGACACCCTCCTCCCCGCCGACAAGCCCTGGCGCAAGCCCGGCGCCGACGTCACAGACTACTTCAACTACGGCTTCGACGAGTTCACGTGGACGGCCTACTGCCAGAAGCAGGAGTCGCTGCGCGACGAGTACGACCCCCACAAGCTGATGGAGCAGATGATGCTCCTCTCGGGCATGGGCATCGGCCTCCCCGCCATGGAGATGCCGGACATGGGCTCCATCATGAGCTTCTCCGGCGGCCCGGGGCAGCAGCAGGCGGCGGCTGGGGGCGTGGGCGTGGGCGTGGGCGTGGGCGTTGGTGTGGGACCCGGGGGCGATATGGGCATGGGCGATGCGCCGTATGGTGCGCCGGGCGGGTTTGATCAGACCGCTGCGGCGTATGGGAGGGCGCAGGTGGGCATGTATGGGCCTGGGGGTGGCGGCGAGCAGGAGTCGGGCATGGATTACTCGGTGTATAATCGCCCGCCGCAGGGGCCGGGCGCGGGGATGGGTGCGTATGGTGGGTATGATCAGGGGATGATGCAGCAGCAGCAGCAACAGCAACAACAGCAGCAGCAGCAGCAGGGGGGGGGGAATAGGGGGTATGGGCCCGGCCCTAGGGGCAGAGGGGGGAGGAGGGGGTGGTAGTGTACGGTGCGTGGGATGGGATGGTAGTTAGTGGCCAATGCTTACAATGAAATGTACTAGACTGGCTAGGTTTCTTTTCTGGTGCTGGTTTTTTTTCCCTTTCTCTCTCATTTTTTCTTTGAAGCTCGAAATTAAATTGGAGCTTTGGGTTTTATAGTTCTAGTCTGTAGTGGTTTTCCTTTTTTTTTCTTTTTTTTTTGCTTGACGTTTATGATTGTGGTTTTGTGTATTATAACATCTATTTTTTTCTTTCTTTCTATGTTTCTCGTGTTTCGGCACGGGTTATAACTTGTCCTCGCCGCCCCATGTTTTTGTCCCCCCTTTCCCTCCTCCTTTATCTGTTATACCATGCATGGCTGCTGTAATATTATCACTTTTTCGGGAGAAAGAGGGAAGAAGAAGAGGGGGGGGGAGGGGGGCTGGGCGGTGATATATGCGGCTAATAGACGCTTCTCTCGCCATGTCTGCTTGTTTCTATTCATAGCCCTTTTCACTGTCATGTGCCGACCTCGTGGCGTTGAAGAAGAAGAAGGGGCTATGGCTCGATTGGCTATGGTGGCAATGAATACATGTAGTTGCTTATATGCAAGGAACAAAGACCCTAGGCTACCGCTTCGTTCCGGTTTCTGCAAAGTTGAAACAGGCACACCTCAAAGTGGGCTTTGAAAGCTACCCGCGGGAATCAAGGGACGAGTAGATATTTATATTTATATTTTTTTTTTTGGAAATGGCTAGCTAGTAAACAACCACTACATGCGGGGGGATATTTGGCGCACACTACTACCGCGGACTAAACATCACGCGGGGGGACGAGTGATAAGCCATGAGTGAAAAACTGTGCCTGAAATATGCACTAGCTATAAAAAGGTACAAGCTAGGAGGTAGCAACAGAAAAGAAAGAAAAAAAAAAAGAGAAGGAAAAAAACATATACTTCATGTATGCAAACCCCAAGATACCGAAACAGCCATTAACTCCCAAGCATTCGAAGCCATTAAAAACAAGTGAAACATCCCCATATCTCCCTCCCCACACCTCTCACTACACATCATCGAAAAGCCCCGGGCTATCAATAACAATAAATGTCAAGTGGGAGATATCCTCGGGATATCCTTCGGGAAGAATAGCAATAGACCCCCTTTCTGTGAAACTACCTTCTTCGCGCTGTACACAGACGGTGTTGAAAGCCAGGATCGCTGATGAGATCCCGGAACAAGGAATAAACTTGCCAGGTGCGCCGCAGAAATATATCTCAGACGTCCCCGAAGTTGCGAGAGAGCCGCAATGATGTTCGGTTTGGTCACCAAGGCCTTGTGGTGGGACGCAAGTCTGATTCCCCCTGTAGTCAAGCTGCTTAACGGCGTCGAGGGTGTCTGTATATGTTGGTAGGTTGTCATCGAACGAAGGTGAGGTTCCATTGAACGAATGTAAAGTTCCATTGAACGAAGGTGAGGCGCCATTGGGTAAAGTGATGCAACCAGCAAATTCCGCACCCAATTCAGTTTCCCGACCAATAGAGTTGCTAAAATCTCCGGGTAGCTTTGTGGCCCAGTTTGGAGCTCTGTCAAAGTCTACAGGATCTCGGCGTTTAAGGGTGTAAATGGGAGCTCGCTGTCGAAGAGCCATGCTCGACCTTTTGATACGGCGCCTTGGGATGACGTCACGGGGGGTCTCAGAGGTACCCGCGGTAGAAGGGCTAATAAAGAGAGCGATAAGGATGAAGGTCATCAGGGGAGTAAATATGGGGAACATCTTGGCCATTTTATGAATTGATGTGGTTTTTTTTTGCTCGATTAGCGAATAAGGAACGTTGATTGGTGAATATAGACGGCGTTACTCGATAGCAAAGCAATATTCGAGAGCGAAAGGGCTTAGCTACTCGATGTCAAGAGGTAAGATGGCGGTGGGGGAAGAGAGTGAAGTTGAATGGGAAAGAAACCATGAATGGATGTTAAGGCAGGAGATCAGGACAAGTGGTTAAATACATGTACTAATATGCGAAGGAATGTGCGGTGGGTGCATGGGCATGCAGTACATGTGGGATCGGCCAGAGTGGACTTTTTAACGTTGTTTGGTACTAGACTTCCCCGGATTGTCATTGTGTGTGTACGTAGGTAGAGTAGATAACAGCCGCGTATACACTAGCTGCGCCGATGTCACAGGACATACGTATCGTTTTAAATTTAGACTTATCACCCCACATCCGCCCCATAGTTGAGTAATAATCTCGTCACAAAGACATCAGTCCTTTACATCTACGTCTAGCTAGTAAAAGCTTTTTGGCTTAGGGGAGGATGTTTCTACCGGTTTCAAAGAAGTAAAAGTGGAGTACTCCATCATTGACTTTAACTAGCTCGAGCTGACTTTCTATTGTTTTAAAGCTGTGTGGGGAGCCGTTTATCAGAGGGAACATGCACAAACAACGGACGAGTGCAGGCCAATTTCAAAGATATCATTGCTGTAAGGAACGGTGTGTGGCCGTAGTATGGGCTAGACATGCAGGTACACTCTTCCCCCTGTAAACAGTTGGCTCCAGTACTTGCGTTTGGCCTCATACACGCAGGTGCCCGTAAAACAGGACGGATTTATACCCATTCGCCGTCCTGCCTGTTGATAAACGCCTCTTTTTGCCGCAAGTCCACACCTGACATCATACAGAACCAGTTGTCGCCCCTGAAGATCACCCAAAATACACACGGTGCAGATAATATGACGTCGTGTTCATTGGCGATCTGTCATCGACGAGAAACTATATGGCCTTGTTGCCCTGCGTTGAACAACCCACGGGATTCCCTCAACGAAAGGGCGATATCAGCTATGAATTGAAAATCCACTTTAGATGGAGTTTTGAGGGTGGTAAAGTCTGGTCTCACTGGGCCACCATTGACCTATGCAAGGCTCGACATGCACGATCGCGAGTGATACTTAGTGCCCCACGAACTGAGAACAACCTTACTAGTAGCTTGACCGTTAACACCGGGTTTCGGAAGAGAAACCAGGTTTTGAAAGTTCCCCAGAAAATAAATAACCCGATTGGGCTAAACGAAGTGAAATTATGCAGGGATTGAACAGAACATTAATCAGATACGGAAGATACCCCGGTCAAAGAGGCTATATTTACAAGGCCGGAGGCATAACCAGGTTATCAATTATCAAACGGGTATTTCCTATGTTCTGACACCTGAGGTAGTTTGTATAGGAAGTTCCCCACTTTTGCTGTGCTTAAGGTACTAACCGCACCCGCCGCTCTCTGCCTCCATCTCCGCCGCAGCTTCGTCTCTCAACTTCTTTGCCGCCTTGCCTTTTCTGTGAACCCTCACATCCGCTGGATCAAAGCCACCGTTACCCCAGTTCGCCCATTCAGGAGTGGCTTCACCGATGTAGTCTTCCGGGCCAAACTCTTTCCCTTCCTCGAGCAATTCAAAGAAACGTTTGTAATCGATATGTGTGTGCCATCTTCCATTGATGAAGAAACGATTAGAGCCAATGAGGATACAGCAACTATTGGATAAAATAGGTTAGAATTTGACACGGAAAAGTGGTACTGGGAAAATACAGGTGAAAGATTACCTGTGGGCATGCTCAGCTGCAATCCCATACTCCAGCCCTCTCCTTTGTAGCTCTTTGTTCAACGCTTCGACGAACGCTACTACCTCCTCATAGAAGGGCACGTTCTTCATAGTAAGTCCAGCCTCTCCTGCAGTCGACGTCCCACAGTATGTTACGCCTTTTACTTCTACGAAACATGGTAGACCCTTCTCAACGAGATCCGCATAGCCCATAACCTCATCATCAACATTGAATCCCTTAACAAGCGTCAGCCTGAAAACTGTTCGCTGCTGGTTCCTTTTCTCTCGAAGAATGTCAAGACATGACTGGAAACGTTCCCAGAAATCACGGTGAAGAGGTCGATCAATTTTCTTGAGACTCTCACGATTGGAGGCGTCAATGGAAACGTAGAGTTGTGTGACAGGTCCAAGGGCAGCAAGCTGAGCCGGGTGCTGGGCATTGCAGACAAGGAAGGAAGAAACCTTGCTAGAGTGTAGTAAATGAAGGAACTCATTGATCTATATCGACAAAGGTCAGTTGTAACCACTGAGAGGAAATATCCTTTAACGTACGTATGGGTAGAACACAGGCTCTCCGACAAGACTCAGCGCGCAATGCCGTATCTGGAACGCCTCACTGAATCTATCTGCCCTGACTCCAGGAACACCCTTCATCATTTTGATTTTGCGGTAGTGGCCTTCTACGACGCCCTTGAAGACCTCATCGGCAGGATCAATTTTCCACCTCCATGTAGTTCCTACAGGATTTGTGCCATGTCTCCAGCAGAAGACACACTTGTTCGAGCAAGAGAGTGAGGGAGTGGTTTCCATGCACAAATGGGATTTAATCCCATAAAAGGAAAACTTATAACAACTACCTCTACCACGTAGGGCGGATTTTGTCCACCGACAAATCTTTACACCAGAGTGGGAGCCGACAATGGTATATCCTTGTTTCGTCAGTGCTTCATATGTCACTCCACCTTTTGGAACCATTTCCTTCCTCTCTGGGTTCTGCCCTTCTCCTTTTTCAAGAGCGATTTTTCCAGCTGGTGTTGTAAAGTCAACCGGCAATGGCCCTTGACGGAAGCTCTTTACCACATCACCCTTCTTGGCGACGTCTGGGTTCTTTTTAACAACTCCACCAAGGTCTTCCAAATCGACCATTTCATCACCGCTGTTTGGTGAATCTGGTTCCTGCTCCGCTTCTGAATCCTCGTCTCCAGATTCGACAGCGGTGCGCCAATCCGTAACATCACCGAGCTCTCCTGTTGCAGCATATTCCCGCATTGTGTCTTCCAAGTGAATCCTCCAGGTGTTCAAGCTCTCCTCAGCGTTTCCGGATTCCTTTCCTTTGGCACTGGCTGGGTTTACATCACCCATCCCAACTGGAAACATCCGTCTACTCCCTTTTCTCCCTCCAGTGAGCTTGCCCATCCATTTATCCACCTCTACTGCGTCTTTGCAGAACTTTCCCTCTTCTGCTGGCCATTCTGAAGAATCACCAAATCCAAATACTGAAAATCCAGCCAATGAGCGCAACGGCGCAGTGTCTATCCGGAAATCGTGATGCGTCTCTTGTAGATGTTCCAAGAACGGAGCTACGGGTGAATCCGTTTCGTAGCTGGGAACTACGAGAAGATACACATATTTAATCTTTTTCTCACTGTCACTCTTAGGAAGTGAGATGAAATAATCATCGAGCTCGATCTCCTCGAGATCTAGTAACTCCGCTGGCAAAAATGATCTTTGTAGAGGCACTGATCCAAGAGAGTTCGAAGGCGTTGGGATAGCGAGTGAGGAGTAAACGCCTTCGCCATTGGTCGAGAAAAGAGTATTTTGAAGCTTCTCGGCATATGCCCGGGTCGAGCCAGTAAGACTTGAGTAGAATATTAATACCTGAATGTCAAAATCACCCTCCTCCTTCTCTTTCACAACCTCTGGTTTTCGAGAGTTCTTTCCACGGCGGGTGGGCGATATCTTCTTCTTGTTTCCTGTAACTCGTTTAGGGCCAGTTTTAGCCGGGCGACCAGCTGAATTCTGTGATTCATCTTTTCCATCCAATTCCGCCACCTCTTCGCGAACAACCACTTTACTGTCAACCAACTTTTCATCTGAAGAGGGTGTCGGCGCTCCACGCCATCTCTCAGCGGGCTTGAGGGTTTGCAAAGAGGCCGTCTCTTCCTTTTGTAGCTTCTTTATTGAGGTGTGAATTTTGTACACGGCAAGTCCCGCGACGACGGAGATGATTAAAGGCAGACGAAGCGTATGCCATAGCTCGACAAGCTCTGTTTCCACGCCATTTAGTATTCTGTACAGGTCGGAGAAGCTTAGGCGCGTACCATCTGGCAGTCTAAACTCTTCGTCGGAATTGGAAGACATCCCGGTGTTGTATGTAAATTTGATTGAAGGGCCTGCAGCTGTAACAGTGAAGGTTTTAATTTATTTTATCCTGGTTACCCTATTGGCGTTGGAGGGGCTGAGGGGGCTGACTAATATACAAGGAATTAAGGATCTATGTAGCTGTTTTAGGAAGGGATATGCAAGGATGATATCTCATCAAAACCTTTCAAAATAATGTTGAACTACATATAGTTGGCAGTAGTTAGTACATGTACATACTTTCTAACCGAGTCACACTCCACGGCTAGTTCAAAAATACGCTCTAGAAAGTACCAAGTGAGATTCTATGAAGTAGTGTAGTGAAGCACCGAATCAGATTGCATGAAGCAGTATTGAATTGCTATTGATCGATGTCGGTAATTATATGGGGGTTGCGAGCAAATTCCGTTGTGAGTAGACCTAGATCTGAGAGTCCTGGGCCAAATATAATATCTCTTAATAATAGGTGACAGAAGCTGCAGGTTCCAGTACCGGCCATATACATACATACAAGGATTTAAATGTCTCCCAGAATCTCAATCTATAACTTTTAGACTTAAATGGACTTCAATAGGTTTCGATATGGCTCAAGCTGCGATCCTAATACAGAAATGGATAGCACCATTACACACCACTCAGATTCACCTGTCCTAAAGTAATAATCTCTTATTCAAAAAATTATTTCATAATAGATAGGTACCAAGAGAGGGAATGTGCCGGCTACATTGTACGTAGAATTTAAGAGTACCTGTGGGACCAGCTAAAGTATCATTTCCCCGATGAGCCAAGCAATGATTCTTGCTTACATAATTCTAGGTTAGTCAATTATGGTCACGTGAAATACCTTGGCAAATACAATTAAACCCCACTACAGCTCCTACATTAATGTGGAAGCTTCACTCTCCAACAAACTTCAGCTACATAATCCACCACTTCCGCTTATCTCTTAAATCACATCATAAAATGGCTGCTTCGACACCCAGTGGAGCTCCAAGCTCCAAGGAGAAGAAATACGACAGACAACTTCGTCTCTGGGGAGCAAACGGCCAGAACAGGTTAGAGAGTGCTCACATCGCGCTATTCAATGCTTCCGCCGCGGGCTGCGAGATCCTCAAGAACCTGATCTTGCCTGGTACTATACCTATATCCAAACTACACAAGCTTTTCTAACCTTGGTTGATAGGCGTCGGTCAATTCACCGTAATCGACGACAAACTGGTGGAAGAGGCGGACCTAGGCGCCAACTTCTTCCTTGACGAAGAATCGCTTGGGAAACCTAGAGCTGAGCGGACAGCAGCACTATTAGGAGAGCTGAACCCTGATGTCAAAGGAAATTATCTTGTTGATGTGAGCAATGACTTTCGCTTAGATCCTACCATTTGAGTTTCAAGGTTCTCATTGTTGAGTTTTAGAGTCTCTCCAATATCTTGTCCACTAAACCAGAGCTTTTAAATCCTCGTTCAACGTCCTTCACACATATAGTCATCATCTCCCCAGTTCCCACGCCATTACTCCTTCAGATCCCGATTGAAATCCCGGTATTTCTAGTTAATTGCGTGGGACTCCTTTTTACGCTACGAATCTCAGCCCCGTTACACACAATTGTCGAGGCTCATCCAGAATCTTTAGTAGACCTTCGACTATTGAATCCTTGGCCCGAACTTTCCGCTCTGGCAGCTAAAAAGACCAAAAATCTTGAAGTGCAGCAGGAGATGGATGGAGATGAGGGGATGAGTGACCATGAACACGGCCACGTCCCATACCTGATTCTGTTGTTGAAGTACCTTGACGACTGGAAGAGGAGGCCCGAAGGAGATGGAACCCACCCTTCAGGCTACAAAGAGATGACGGCTTTCAGATCCTTTGTCCAGGCTAAAATGAGAACTCATGTCCCAGGTGGCAGTGAGGAGAATTATGAGGAAGCCGTTGCGGCCGTGCTTAAGCATGTTCGAAAAGCAGAACTCTCAGAAAATGCTAAGACGGTTCTTGACCACCCAGCTTGTGCCAATATATCATCCGAGGTCTGCTATATCTAGAATTGAGATAGGACCATTGAGTGCTAACATTTTTGGGTATTAAGTCAACCAATTTCTGGATCATTGCCAAGGCGGTCAAGCAATTTCTTGAGAGCCCGGAACAGGGGAATGGACTTTTACCATTATCTGGTGGTATACCAGATATGAAAGCTGAAAGCAACGACTACGTTGCTTTGCAAAATGTGTAAGTTCCTACCTAGCCATCTATTTGAACAATGTCCAAGCTCACAGAATTCAGTTACAAAAACAAATCTCGCCAAGACGCCTCTTTAGTTCAAAAGAATGTCCAGTCCACTCTCTCTTCAATCGGACGGGAACCTTCTTCCATTTCACTTGAAGAAATTGAGCTTTTCTGCCGTCACGCTAACTTCCTTCGTGCGATATCTTTCCGTCCCTTCTCTGCGGAGCTTTCTACCGACGACTTTCACAAAGAGGTCGTAAAGGCTGCTTTCGAGAGTTGGGACGCCGACTCATCTCTCATTAATGATTATGTCGCATTCAGAGCTTTTCAAGAATTTATTACTCGGAGCGGCGGAAGAGCACCTGGTGACACAGAGGGACCCATCGATGAAGATACCGCAGAGATGCGAAGACTTGCCAAAGCGTATCTCAGCGAGGTGGGTTGTAGTCCAGAGCTCACTGAGCGGACCGAAAATATTATCGGTGAACTCGTAAGATATGGCGGTGCAGAGCTCCATAATATTGCATCGCTTGTAGGAGGTCTCGTTGCGCAGGAAGTAATTAAGGTATGAGGCCTTTCATAGCTCCCTGATAGGCCGCCTACCCAGATAGAAGCTGGCTAACAAGAGAAAAGATCATTACGCAGCAATATGTACCGGGTAATAATACGATCTTATTTGATGGAATCGGCAGTAAAACCGGGACGTATGTGCTGTGATGCACGACATCCCTTGTCTACTCATTGATAAAACTAGAAGGGAGATAATTAAAGACATTTATAGCGCCTCTAACGCTTCACTCTATGTAGTCTTGTGATCTAGTAATTCTTTGACTACATATAGAAATATGTAAGAGGCAGGAGTAAAATGTGGGTGTGGCTTTCAACCTGTGCAATCGTTTTTGAGGATATGTGACAGGTTTCTTATCCAGTGATTTATTCTCTTTTCTTTGAATTTGAGTGTTTCCGGTACCCGCATCCGGCCGTTCATATAGCTCTTATTATTTTTGTAGCCGGAAACTTCATGTAACGGCGCCTGGGACTGGAGCCCGCACGTTTACCCCGCCGTGAGATTTTTCTATTCCCATTGATATGGCGATTCCTAGTCTCTCCTCCAGATTTCTATCCGTGCAGATGCCCAACCGTGAGACACTACAGCCTAGGGAACTGTATTCCAGCTTTACAAGGTTCTGGAGAGGCTGCGGTAACATTGCCTCGGCGATAGTTAGCGGCCAAAGGAAGACAAAAACATCCGCACAATTTGACCGATGACTGATAGTTAGTACTCTCCATATGACCAATAATATGACCTAAGGTAATAGCCGTAGTAGAAACTGGGCTGCTATAGTGTTCTCCGTATGGTCTTTCGACCCTTCTCTGTAGCAGGGCTTGCTCCAGCGCTCGTAGAGGCAGTAGCTCGGGTTCAAGCATTCCCAAGGATTATAAGTTTAATGGTATTCCCTGGGGTATAATAAAAAGGTGGGCTTAACTAATACCGCAGGCTGTAGAGAAATAGTAAACCGTGGTTTTGTAGATCAGTAAAGATTATATGGAGAAGGCTGTACGTGTGCGTTGTAGTCCAGAGGAGCAAAAAGGAGAGGCATCCCGCTCTGCTCCTTTACCCAGCACCAAGTGTATGTTTTCCCACAAGTCTGGGAGGTTCAAACTATCGAACTCGGCCCCTCTGGGCGAAACTTCAGCTACTAAGCCACGGGAAGTGGTTGATGTACAGTATTTTTCTAATTCCCCTAAAAGCCCTTTGCGCTAGTGCATCATTAGCGTGATTCCCCTCCTCCATCATGACCCGCAAATAGAATGCAGCCCTCTGTCTATCTGTAGCCTAGCATTCTGGTAACTGTTGTCCGTTTCTACGTCTGTGATCTGTATACAAGGCTTAGGGAGTAGAAAGGCCGGTGGTGCCTTCGGTTCCCTCCGAACCTCCTAATAGGATTCTCATCTACGATACTTCTGTCAAAATATTTCCTTCACTGCCTGGTGTTTAGGTTCAGAGCAAAGGTGCAGAATACCCGCAAGGTGGCCGTTTTGCAATTGGGGTAGATGAGTGAGTGCCCTGCATGATGCGTATGTGGATGGATCACAACAATGATCTCTATTTACCTCGGCCTTCTTTACATAGATATGGATACATACACTTTAGGATTTCAAGAGAGTACTAATACCCCTATCGCACTTTGGAGGGAAAGAAAAAAGGGTTCTCAACCCTCATCCCCCGTACTACAGTGTCGGGGCTCTAGGCAAATCTTTTCCTCGATCGCCATTAACGCCAGCGCGGGTTCAACGCGCGCGCATTAAGGTAGACACCCGATGCTTACAGTAGCTCTTTTGGTGCCTTTGGCCAAGCCCCTCCATTGCTCATCTGACGGAGGGGAGTTGAAGTTAAACCGTTAGCGCAAACCTTAAATACACGGTTCCACTTTGAGAGTTAATGGCCAAGGAACGTCGAACAATATCGCCTTCGGGGTATTCTAAAGCGGGAATTCGACACCTACATATCATTTCTTAGAGTACTCTACACATCTGTTCTTGTCTTTGACATTGGCTTTGAGTGTGGTAGGCATGCAATCCCTCCATCTCACAAGGTGGTTGGAAAATCATGAAATATCGATCATTTCCATTCATCTTGTAGAACAGCTCAGTTTGGTCACAGAACACATCCTGGCAACCAAACCGCATAAGCGTAACACCAAGCAAAATACTTCGAATATCATACTTATGGAGCTTTAAATGGAGTACATACAAATAGATTCCAAAATTTCTTCAATGGGGGATCTTCAATTTAGGGATCAAAAGACGATCCGATCATACTCGTATATTTATTCAATAACTATTTTAAAATAAGCCATGCATGTTCACAACATTTACTTCGACTCCTCCTTAAGCTTCACCACCTCCCCACTACCCTCCTCAACATCCACAGCCTCATACATAACATCCGACCTCAGCGTCCTCTTCACCCCGCCCTCCACAACCTCCCCCGAATGCAGCAACCCCCTCTGCTGAAACACCAACACCCTCCCCACCCTCGCCTCCACATCCACAAACTCCTTCATATTCATTCCCCAAAACCTCGTCGCCCCGCCCCTACACTCCCCCTCCTCTCCCTCCCCCTCGCTGTTCAGGTACACATGCACCGTCAGAAACGACCTCTCCCTGCCCCCCGCACGCACATACGCCGCGTCGCAATGCGCCTGAAAGAACTGCCCCTGCCCGTACCGCAAGAACCGCAGCCGCTCATTCACACCCGTCATCCGCCACCTCCGCCCGCGCCGCCACGTCCCCGCTACCACCCCGGTCTCCGGCGTGCCACCAATCTCCCACATGAGCGCGAGGAAGGGGTGGATGCGCTGGTAGAGCATCTCGGCGGTGGGGGCGTCGTCGAGCAGGATGCGCGAGCAGTCGCGGACGTCGGTTTCGACCTCGTGGCGCGTGGCGCCCTTTTTGATGGCGGCGGGCTGCCAGGCGTCTGAGTGTGACTCGGCGAGCGCGGTGAGGGCGGCGCATTCGGTGGGCGTGAGGAGGTCGTCGATGATGAGGGCGTAGTGGTTGGGGTGGCCGTAGTGTTTGGAGAGGGGGGTGGTGGTGAAGTCGAGGAGGGTTACGTGGGGGGTTGAGGGTGGGGTTGGGGCCGGGGAGGACATGGTGGGTTTTGTTATGGTGTTTTAAGAAGGTGGGAGTGTTGTGGAGGTCCTGATAAAGGACTCGTAGCTTTTATATAGAGTGTGATGTGGTGAGATCTTGAGATGCTTCAAGTATATTTACGAATATGCCAGCGGATTAACAGATCATCTCAGCTCATGATATGAGTCACCCAAGGATATCGTAAGTAATTGGCTAGCAGCATGCATGGCGCTGATGATAGCAAGCTAGGTGCAATCAATAACAAAGCCAAAGGTTTTGAATGAAAAGTATCGAATCTGATATGTAGCACTTATTAGTATTATCAGTATTCAAGTACTCATATTGGGGATAGCGCTAGTAGATTAGTAGAAACAGTTACATTAGTAGATGCCAAGACCGTCCGGGATCCTTTCAACTGACCCCAGCTTCCCTTCTCCGCTTGTCGGATGAGTAATTGTAAGCTAGGTCCCAGGATATATACCGAACTCCGCCGAAACGCTTCTTTAAACCTCATATATCACCTGTATATAAGCTGTGTCCTCGGGACCTCAGCCAGGCCATTCCCCATAGCTCATTCCTACTACTCACTGCCCAGCTCCAATCGATCAATCTACAATTCCTCCCAATATAACTATGTAAGCACCCCTACTACTATACTCAACCATTACCTTAATTAACCCAACCCCACCAGGCGCCTCCCCTACATCCCCAACCCTCCCACGCCCACCACCCCCTCCGAAGCCGAAATCATCGCCCAAACCGTCGCCCGCCGGGGCTCCGAAGGCCTCATCCCCCTCGACCTCACCCTCCTGCACTCCCCACCCATCACCGCCGGCTGGAACTCCTTCCTCGGCGCCATCCGCACGCAGACCTCTCTCCCCGCCGACATCCGCGAGCTCGCAATCTGCCGCGTCGCCGTGCTGAACCAAGCGTACTTCGAGTGGACGCAGCACTCGCCGCTGGCGCTCGCTGCGGGGATAACCCGTGTCGGCTTGCGCGCGGTGTTGGATGGCACGAGGGGGGATCTGAGTGAGCGGCAGATGGCGGTGGTGGAGTTTGCGACGGAGAGCGTGAGGGAGACGAGGGTGGGGGAGGGGGTTTTTGGGAGGTTGAGGGAGCACTTTTGTGATAGGGAGGTTGTGGAGGTTGTGGCGACGGTGGCGGCGTATTGTTGTGTCTCGAAGTTTTTGGTTGCGCTGGATGTTGCGGAGGGGAATAGGGTGAGGGTGGAGGATTATCCGTTGCCAGAGTAGAGTTGCTGTGGTTGGAAGCTAGCTGCTGTGGTGAGTAGGTATTAGAGGTTTGGATAGAGTGTTATGCTTCCTTGCATGGACTGGATTAGTATGCAGATAAATCTGTAAAGAATTACTATTGGTTAGTGTTGCAGAGTGCATGTCCAACCACGTATCTTACTTATAAGACACTCAAGGTATTCGTTATTAGTACGTTAGCACAAAGTCCCCTGGTGGTGAAGAGTGACAATAGACATTCCCCACATGCAGCGGATAGCTTGAACGAGAATTTAAGTCTCGAGAGTAGAGCAAGTGCTAATATGCCGCCAGAGTCCGTACCTACATTCATAACTCAAGTGCATGACTGGAATCAATCCCAAGCTTCCCCCAGGTAATTAAGCATAACCTTTGCGTGCGGGGGAAGGGGCATGTCTCTAAATTGGGCAATCAAAGGCGTCAGTACGTACTCCGGATCTGCATTTCGGGGCGTCATCGTATTGCCTCAACCAGGAATTTCTTTTTCCTCTCCGCTACGGAGTTGTATCACACGTGCTCACTCACTCACGCATTACCTGGTTTTTTTTTACCTGTGCTCATGCGTCACATCAGTGCTCTACAGCTTTCTTTATAACTCCGTTCTGCCCGCCTGTTAGTTGGATAGTTAGCAATGTAAACCAACTACCCCTCCCCAAGAGCCAAAACCAAACTCCCATCCACAATGCCCCCCCAAGCCCACTGGTCCAGAGGCACTTCAGCCTTCCCCGCAGATGCATACAGCTTCTACGGCAACTCTCTCCACAAACGGGGCGAATCCAGCGACCTCGAGCCCACCCTTCTCGCCATCCCCATCGCCATCGTCCTCGTCATCGGCCTCGCATCACTCCTAATCATCGCGCACAAGAACAAAGACAAGTCCAAAGACCAGGCTTCTGACCCCGAGGGCTTAGGAAACGCCCGTGACGAAGTTGCTCTCCAGGAAGGTAAAGCACATGTAGAGACAGCGGCCGCACCAGTCGCAGGCCAAACACCCGCACGAGAGCCAGATGATGCCCCAAAGATACCAGTAGAACACAATAGCTATCGGCCACCACAGCCACAAGCCTCAGAGATAGATACCGTACCAGTAACGGGCACGCCCATGGCTCAGCCGACAAGAGGGCTGGTGTATAGTCCGCCATTGCCGGAAGCTGATGAAGCAGCGGTAGAGGGTGGGAGAGATGGGCAGCGCCAGCTGCATCTGCCGGAGGTGGACGGAATAGCTGTGTACAATATCCAGCAGGCGCTGGAGATGGATGCTGCACGGCCTCAGCCAACACAGACACCGGTACCGGTGCACCACCCAGCGGTGCCAGAGGCGGACGGGAGGGCTGTGGTTGGGGAGCTGCCGGGAGCGGAGGAGCAGATGGCGCATGAGTCGGATGGTGCCAAGAAGGTATAGGTGAGAGAGTTGGTGTATTATCTGTCGGATGCTGTAGTGTCTAGTGGGGATATATCATCAACTAGGGGTTTGGGGAATGTTTGGTTGTTCTCTTTTTGGAGTGGAGTCTTTTTTGGTTTGTATGTTTGAGTATTTCTATGGCCATTTTGGGTTGGTGGGTTGTTGATATATTGCGAGTGCTCAGTTGGAATCTTTAAGACTACATGTACTGCGGTAGTATAGCGGTACATACATGTAGTATCTCATTATTGAGGATATATTGAATTCAGTACTTAGATCTGTAATAGCTTATCAAACCTAGTACTATTGCATGATAAGGATTGTTCGTTGAGGTGATCTTTAGAGCAGTAGCTGAGAACCGATGAATGAGGAACTAAAAACCAAAAAGAAGGAGGGGGAGAGAAGGCCCCTCTTTACGAGTACAGCCTAGAGACAAAAGTACATGTACATGTAGGTACAGATATATCGATAGTTTGGAGTCACGTGCAAAGCACATAATGAAACGCTGGCAACAATGTGATTGTCAACACCGACGTTACACATAACAAATATATGTACTCTAGGTAAATACATATCAGCCCCACGGCAAGTATCAGTGCTACACTCAGCTTCCCGTCAAAGTTAAATCTGAGCAGTTCGCACTGCCTCCCTTGTGTAACTACAAATAGACCCTTTGCGATGGATCCTTGTAGCTTGGCATTTGCAACCACCCCAAGAAATGACCCCTGTCAGTCGAGTCCGAGCTCAGGGGTGTCTTTAATCCCTACGAAAAACGCCTGATGTACTCTATCTAAACGAAAAGAAAGCACTATTCCCTTTTGATCACAGAAGTGAGCAAAAAACGCGGCTCTCAGCGCTTTTTCTTGGCGGTGCCGGAACCCATATGCATGCTTGCCACTGATCCGCGTTACCCAGTTTTTAACTCAACCTCAAGGTAAACCGATTATTTCCCACCACCAACACTGTTGCTAAATTCCTAAGGATTTGGTACAAGGCGTAGTTGCATCTGAATTTTATCATGAAAAAAACTCCCATGAAAAAAGATCTCCATTTAGTGATTCTACAAATGTTAGAAGTAGGTAGTGGAGGTCTGATTTCTCTCTCTGAGAGTCAGCGCAAAGGGTGTCTGGGCAAGGCTCCAACCTACATGCAGCCAAGAAGCGGATAGGCACGTCCGGCATCGAAACCCCCCCCCCCAAATATATCCCCAATGCGGCTCTAGCACACATAACTCTGTTTTACCGACCTTATATTGGACCTTCCCCCCTTCCTTTCCTTCCCTCTTTTCCTCTCTTTCCAGCTCTCGCCTATCCTCCACACCACGACCTCCCTCAAAACCTAAGACACCCCACAACATGACCAGTACACGCCCACACTCGCCAGTCTTGACCATCCCCACGCTCCTCCCCCTCCTCCTCCTCCTCCTCCTCCACACCCACCCCGCCCTCGGCCTCCCCAGCACCCGCCGTGACTTCTACGGCACTTCCGGAAACCCCAAGGCCGCGACGGCCGGAATCTCGCTCTCGGTTATTGCGCTAGTACTATCGATCGTAGCGTTCGGCCTGATGCTGTACAATCGCCGCATGAGGGCGCAGGATGAGAGATATGCTCGTGCGCAGGAGTTGCGCGCTGTAGAGGGGGATGCCAAGAGGGGGTATCCAGGGGTGCCCGGGACGGGGTGAGGCTGAGGTTGTTATGCTACAGTCGCACAATTTCCATATACGGGATAGCAAATTGGTTTTGCAGTAAGAGAACTAAAACCCCAGAGGGTTTCGTACGGGGCGGCAAGGGATCCGGGATATTGAGATCCGGCATGGTGAGGTGCGACTATATGAGTAGTCTGAGTATAAGAACTGGGGTAGTGGAGTTTTTGTAGTTTTTCTTTTGGCTTGGTTTGGTTTTGGTTTGGTTTGGTATGGTTTGGGAGTCAATTTGAGCGTTTAATTGCTGTGCTCTTTTATCACATCAAAGGGCTGTCTGTCGTTCTTTAAATACAAGCTTTTTCGTATTATGTAGTTCACGCAACCAACCACTCACGAGCTTGAGTAAACATCTATCTAGCGACTAGGATATTTACATGAGTCGAATCGAGGTTTCCTATTCTTGCAGGGCTCGGTTTCCCTTTATTTTACGGGCACAGCCACACGTACATATGGTGGGGGAAGCCTTGTTACGGAGCAGTTTGGACACCTCAACTTTGACCGCTTATAGCTCATCAACCACCGCACATATTTTCAATTTTATTAGATGGATCTACTCAGTTTCACCTGCTCTACCATTCTGTCTGCTCCGACTTTTAAGGCCATTCTTCGTTGTTGAGTTATATAAAATATTTTGGCGGGGACAATGTCGCTTCATGTATGGGCGTCTTTGCCAAGGATTCTCCACGTGACTCAAATTGCGAGGCTTTTAAAAGAAGGTCACGTGGATAGTTCTTGGCAAAGAAGCGCGAGTACTAGGTTCTTGGCACGTAATCTGTATGTGTTAGTAAGCAAAATCAGTACCATAGGTGAAGCCACTAGCGCTCGACTGTTTCCAGCCCTGCGTATAAATAAATGCGATGCAGCGAGTGAGTGGCCCGGGTTTGGTTTTCCCAGCATGCGCACTCAGTTAAAACCTTAGGCTCCGTGTAATGCACGCCCTTGGCAGAGCCCGGCCATGCATCTGATGCATATGATACGATAACTACATACGGGCCTGCATCGTGATCCTTCTGGAGTATCGACGGCGCCTCTCGCCAGCGCGGTGGAGCCAATAACCGCGGGCACAGAGAGGGGGAGGAAGGGGGGGGGGGGTGAGTGACACTACATAACCCCATTGGGGATTGACTGGATGGTACTCTACGTCGTGAGATAGCCAGTACAGTGCTAGTTAGCTACATGTATGTTTCACCCAAGTGCTCCTCCGAGAGTCACCCAGATAACAGTAGGGCCCAGTACGAGAGCCTTTTTTCTCCCTCTTTCTCTTTCTCTCTTGCTCACTAGTCCTCACAGCTGATAGACCATAGACAGCCTCCGTGAACATGTCGACTACGATGCCCCCCCCAACGGCACTGACCAGAGCCCTCCTCCTGCTCGTCCTCGTCCTCCTCCTCGCCAGTAGGGCAATTGCACACAGCAGCAGCCCACAGCCAAACAACCATGCCAAACACCGAGCACAAGTACCCGCCGTGCCCGAGATCGAGCCAATAGCAGCGCTCTCTGCCGGCTGGGCGCTCCAGACGGCGACGCCCTGTCCCGCCGGCACACACGGCGCCCCCGCGGGCTGCTGCCCGCACGGGACCGTGCTGGTCGACTATACGCCGAGCAACACGCAGGCCGCGGAGGTCATCTGCTGCCCGGAGGGCGAGGGTGCGTATATCACTGCTCTACATGCCCTTCAGCCTTGTTCTCCTTCTTGGTAAGAGAGGTGTGCTGATTGAGGTGTGACGGTTTGTAGAACGGGGCGAGTGTATACGTGCGCTGGAAGCCCGCCCTGCCTGTGCGGACACGGCGTGGGGGCTGCGGACGGACCGGCGCGGGGGTAGGAGGTTCTGCTGCGGGGGCGGGGAGGGCGGCGGGGATGGGTGCCCGGGTTTGGGTGGTGGGGTGCAGAGGAGGCAGCAGACGGTACGTTCCTCTCCAATACCATCATGATCGTGACATCTGCAGGACGGTGTATAACAAAAGCCCCGCGCGCCCGCGCGCTTTCTACAAGCAGGAATACGATTCAAGAACCAGCACCTACTACCTCACCACATCCGCATCCACATCCACATCCGCCACCACCACCACCGCCACCTCCTCCTCCTCCTCCCCCACCTTCACCACAATAACCGGCAGCTCCCTCCCCACCGCCATCCCCACCGACACGCCCATCCCCCCCACCCCCACAAGAACCTCCCGCAACCGCAACCGCAACCGCACCATCGGCATCGGCATCGCCAGCGCCGGCGCCCTCGTCGCCCTCGTCGGCTTCATCTGGCGCTGCCACTCGCGGCGCCGCCGCCGCGCCAGAACCGCGTCCCCCGGAGGCATGGACGCAGACGGGGCCAAGCAGGCTGTGAATACGGGTGTATCGGAGCTCCCTATTGTCACGACGCAGCAGATCATGACTGGTGGGCAGGACGGGGGCACGGGCGCGGGAACAGGGCCTGGGGCGGGTGGGGCAGCGCAGGGGACGTATACGTGGGAGCCGGTGTATCGGCCGCCGGTTGTGGAGGCACCGGCGGTGGAGCTGCCGGTAGGGGGTGCGGGGGAGGGGTGGCGCAGGAGTTGAAGGCGGGGGCGGGGGCGAGGAGGGATGGGGGTGATGGCGGGCGGAGGGAGGAGGGGGAATGGGGAAGGAAGGGGGGGGGGGTTTATGTAGTGTTCGTCCCCCGTTTCAGGTTTTTTTTTTTCTTTTGTGATAATTTTGGATCGCTTTTGTTCTTTGTGTACTGCAGCTGCTCTGGATACTGCCGGCACCAATTGCAAGGCATAGATCTCGCCATCATTATCTTATATTTCAGCTCTCTTTATCGATGCAGGACCAGACCTTAAGAATTAACTCACCGCCCATCACTCGATCTCCAAATCCCAGATCCCGTGTTCGAATCCAGTCACAGCCAATCACTCGTCACCCGTCACTCCCCCACATTAGTTGATCAGTTAAAACCCAAGTTAGACCTCGTACCAAGAGATCTCTCAGAACCTTTCCTGCAGCTGTAGCCTGGTGCATGAGTCCTGGATATCACTGCATGTAGCGGTGCGTTTTAACAAGGCTGCATGCAGCTGGGCATTAGATACATGTATGTATACGCTGTCAAGCTGGCTGTCTAGTAACACTTTTCAATTTAACATTGGGGAATATGTGTTTTGAACGTTCCAGCGGCTACGTGGTCGGACTCGGTCAATGAAGCATATGTGTTAGTTCCAAGGGCTATAAGTTGAGCTGCGGCAGCCCCCCTCCCCTGATCCTTTCATCACCACCACTCTCGTCTTCCTGCATCCGAGCATTCAGTGCATGTATACACCACAGCAGCCCTCTCTAACCCTCAGACAGCGAGACCTCCCTCGACCACAGACAGCCTGAAAGTGCCTAACTAGGGTGGGTGGTGCCAAGCGACGAGTGATATCTCAAGAACATGGCAGGCTCCAATCACAACAAATCACTCGACCACAAACACCCCACCAATATCTCAATATCTACAAGTTCTATTCTACCCTCCTCCTCCTCCTCCTCTACTCCTCAACAACACCAAACATCGCCTTCCCCCCCACCTCCGCCAACCTCACCCACTTGCTAACCCCCCTCGGCAGCTCTCCACCATCATGAGTCACCACCACGACCGCCACGCCCTCCATCTCCTCCAGCACCCTCAAACACCGATCCCGCACCCCCGCCTCCATCCCCGAAAACGCCTCATCCATCACCAACACATCCCTTTTCGGTACCACCGCTCTGAGGAACAACACCAACCGCTGTACACTCAGCCCCGCATCCCCAAACGCCCCCTCCCACCCCTCCTTACCCCCCACGACGTCATCAAACTCACGCATCTTGCGCTCGGCTTCCTCCTGCTGTGCGGGCGTGAGTACGGGGGTGGTAAGTGGCGCGTCGGCATACCCGCTCAGCACCGCGCGCCGCAGCGACAGGTAGCGGGGGAAGAATGCGTGGATCTCGGGCGAGGAGTGACCTATGCGGCGTTGGAGCTCGGAGACGGGGACGCCGGGGACGCCGGGCGTGGGAAGGCGGGACTTGCCGAAGTGGGTGATAGGGAGGGAGTAGGTTTGTGGGTGGTCGGAGGTGATGAGGGATGTTAGGGTTGTTTTGCCGGAGCCTGCGGGAGGGCAGGGTTAGTATTGACGGTACGGGGAGAGAGGGTGCGGGGGGGGGGGGGGGGGGAAGGGGGATGGGGGGGATTACGATTCTGCAGCGGAAGGGGTAGGACGGGAGGGGGGGGGGGGTGGTCAATGATTGCGGACAGGTTCCGCAGAGATGCTTTCCCGTGAGGTACGAACCACCCATTCTAGGCTGAATCATTCCTCACAAGGAAAGCTTCTCGCAATCCCCATCGGTCTCATCGATCATTGGCCCCCAAGTCCCCAAATCCCCGGAACCCATATTACCATTCTCCCGCTGCAGAACCCTAACATTGACCAGCGAGAGCGCCCTTACCATTCGGCCCAAACAGCCCCCACTTCTCCCCTCTCCGAATCGTCCACGAAAAGTCCTTCAAGATCTCCTTCCCATAATATGCAATCCGCACATCCCTCATCTCAATCAGCTTCTCCGGCAGGTCCTCCTCCCTCACCTCTTCTTTCTTCTCCTTAACTCCCTCCTTCCCTCCCTCTTTGCCTCCATCCTCCACATCCACACCCGCCCAAACCTTCTCCAGCAGCCCCCCCTGCCCCTCGCCCTCCTGCAGGATCTTGAGGCCCTTCCGCGCCATCGCCTCGACGACAGCGCCCTTCTCGCCAATAGCGTGCACCTGGTTGTCGGCCACGTAGGCGAGGTGCGTGCTCCATTTCGGCACTGCGTCTTGGAGGCGGAGACCGCATACGACCTGGGCTGCGAAGGGGACGCCGGGGCGGGAGATGCTGTCGAGGAGTGATGAGATCTTGCGCTTTGCGATTGGGTCGAGGCCCACTGGGATACATCAGCCTCCTCCTCTCCGATCCCAGTTCTCCAGCTGTGGTCCCGGTAGGTAGATGGGTGACAGTGGTGGATACATACTAAACGGCTCATCCACCAGCAGCACCTCCGGCCGCCTCAACAGCGCCTGCGCAATCCTCGCCCTTCTCGCCTGCCCGTTCGACAGCGTCATGACACTCTGATCCAGCAGCGCCCCCAACTGCAACCTCTCCGCCACTTCCCTCACTGCCGCCCCCCTCCTCCTCTCCGCCTCCTCCACCTCCACCCCCGCAGCATTCTCGTACGGGTTCCGCCCCACCTCCACCGACCCCTCCAGCCACTGCTGCAGCGTAAGATCAAACTCCTCCCGCAGCGACTCATACCTCGATGCCGCATAGCCCTCGCCGCCCGTGCTGCCCGCCAGCATGCCCGTGCGAGCGCCCGCGCCGAACGAGACGAGCCCAATGGCGTCCTGCGGCCATTTGGCGTGGGCGGCGAGCGCAGGGTAGGTGCGGGACTGCGGGGAGAGAGGCGTGTGTGTGCCCGAGAGGATGGAGAGGAGGAGGGTCTTGCTGGGGCCGAGGATGGTCCATTTCTGCGTGGGCGGGGAGGTGGTGAGGGGCGGGAGGGTGAGGGTGAGGTTGGGGAAGAGGGCGGGGGAGGTGGGGGTGCGGTGGAAGGTGGCGGAGGTGATGCGGATGAGTGGGCGATTCATCCTGGGTTCATGTATAGAGAGAGGGTGTATGGTGAGAGAGAGAGAGAGAGCTGTGCGGGAGTGCAGATAGCTTTGGTGTTGACTCAGAGCTGTGTGTGGTGTTGTAGAGATAGAGTTAACCCTAGCCCTGTGCCGTTGACGACGTCCGGCGCTAGAGCACTCGCTAGCTTAGCTCAGTTGCCGAGGTGAGCTTTCATGCGCGAGCATCGAAGAACATCTCGATATCTCTACATCTCTCAATCTCTCACTCACTAGTCACTCACTCGCTCACTCACTCAACTGAACATCAATTCAATCCCACCTTCACCCACCTCCACAGCCATACCTACACCCCTCCACCCCCCAATCCTTCAAGGATGCTCCCGCACCTGCAGCGCTCCCGCCCGACCATAACCTCCCCCGTACGTGCCATTCCCCTCCCCCCATACCTCTCCATCAAAACAAAAAGCTAACTCACCACTACACGCAGAACCCACCCGTCACCCCGCCCCTCACGCACACCCGCCCCCACTACAACCCCGCCATCCGCCACCCCGCCTTCTTCACCGAGCGCCTGCACAAAGCGCCCTCGCCCACAGGCGCCGGGGGATCGAGCCCCGTCACAGCGGGTTACGCATACGTCCCTGTGTCTGTGTCTGCGCCCAAAGCTGCGGGAGCGAAGCTCTGATCTGGTCTGGGTGGGTCTGGGTAGGTCTGGGGGGTCTGGGGGTCTGGGGTCTGGGGTCTGGGGTCTGGGGGTCTGGACTACGGCAGTTTTCTGTTTAGTTTTGTTTCTGCTTTCTTTGCGGTTTTGTTTTGTTTTGTTTTGTTTTGCGGGTCACGATGATGAGGAGCTGTCGATTGATTGCGGCACCCCTTGTTCATGGGGAGAGAGATATCCTTGTGAGGAGCTCTCCGCTGGACTGGATCGGTTCTGTATATTCCACTCTATGATGTAGGTACATGACATGACGCCTACTAGGAACGCACTATATCTAAGCATAGCATGCTTCCGTCTGTATGTGCCAGAGATCATAATCATGATCATGCTACTCTATGTTAATCCCCGCCTACGTACGAGCTCCTACATACATGCTTCCATGCCTACACACCCACCGGCTCTTCCTACTCCCGAAACCGATGCAAATAAACAAGCCCAAACAAGCTCTCATCGCGCTCCCACTCCCGCTCTACGCCAATGGTCCGGGCGTGTGTGGACGCGCGGTATGGCTATAGGCTTCTTTTCCACATACCTACCTACCTAGCTATACTCGAGGTACTATATTAGAGTGCCTAGAGCACCATGCCGCCATATCGCCTGCTCTAGTCTAATTTAGGCTATTCCAAAAACAAGGCCACAGAAAAAAAGGAACACACATAAAAAAAAAAGGAAATAAAAAAATAAGCATTTCCCTACTCCTCACTCCGATGTTTACTCAACCACCGTATCCCCCTCCAGTCCCCGTTCCCCCGGTGCCTCGTACCCCCACATCAGCCTATCGTAAGTCGCAGGCAAAGAGAGTGGTACTGTACCTCTGGTGCCGGTCTTCCGTGGTATGCAGCACTGGATTCCAAGTATGAGTAACGACGGGAGTGCGCAGGAAAAAGAAAAAAGTGCACTATAGCCAGGTGATTGTAATGGGGACACGTAAGTTGAGTTAAGGGTATAGCATGTAGGCTAGGTTGGGTAGGTTAGGTGGTAGAGTCATAGGATGTCACTCGGCTTGACTGGCATGAGTAATGCGCTGGATGCATTTGGTTGTGGATGAGCGTTTAACGCAGGGGCTCGGGGGAGAAGGGACGTTTCAGTGTTTGGAGAGTTGTTATTGATGTTTATTTCTGGCTATGCGTCAATTGATGGTGAATTCGAAAAGCAGTTGGTAGGAGTAGATGCAGTATACGTAGTAATCACCCTCAGTGCCATCATCACCAGCAGCAGCAGTAGACAAATTTTCAAGATCATCTCTATCCCTCTGATCTGCTCCCAGATCCGTCATATTGGCAGTAAGTACTACATGTAGTATAAGCACCACATCCGGATCCACTCTGGCCATGAGTGAGTAGATCGATAGAGTAGGTAAACCCGCACTTCCGCCAGCAGAAATTCATAGTCAGCTAGCTACATGTAAGTCAGTGCTAGCTGAAGATCCCGAAAACGTGACAGCTCAATTTTTCCGTTAGTCAGTCAGTTAGTCCTAGCTGAAGATCGATCCCGAAGAGAACTGACTAGCGGACAGCTCAATCGTTGAATCTGCTTGTCTCACTCATATGTTGCTGGCAGACTGTCTTACAGTCCGGCCCGGTATTCGCCATTCGCCGTTAACGTTGAGTTGCACATGTACTAGCTGAAGTAGTACTCCTTCTAATTCTAGATCGATATCGTAGTACTGTTTCTGGATAGTAGTACTCCTCCTAAACAGCGTAGCACTCATGCCTGTAGGTGGAACTGGAAGCGGAAGTGGAACATACCATCTAGCTGTCGAAAGAAAGTCCGAATATGTATCTACTACCCAGTTAATAATTCCCTAAGCCTCTATTGTAAATATCCAATTCCTCTATCCCCAATTGGCCGATTGCAAATCAACACCCAACGGCGAATCCGATAAACTGGTAAGACGTGATTTATTACAAAGGATGGAGTCGAGTTAACGATTTAAATAACCCACAATAAAGACAAGTATCATCTCACTACTTGAACGGACCACTACCCGCTCCTCCAACTTGAATGACTGTCATTATTGACCTTCATACATACGTATCAGCCAGCAAACCATACCCTCAGTCACTCCCCCAAAACCAAACCCAAAGCCTAAAAAAAACCGACCAACCACCGCCAACGGAGATTACCACATCTCCGCCGCTAGTCTCCGTCACTTTCCGTACGACTCCGAGACCGCCGGTGATTAATCCATCTCACCCACCCAGCCCACCGGGCCCTAGATTACCTACCGTCCTCTAGTCTGTCTCACAGCCCCCCGTCTCGATCTTCTCAACGGCTGTACCTACTACACCACAACTACATCCCACCCACAGCCGAAACCGTTGATATCTAGAGTACAGTCACGATACCTTCCACCCAGCCCCTTCGCACAAGATTAACAGATAGTCACGCCTACTCTAGAGCCTGCCTGCACTTTATGCGTGACCCACAGACGTAGGGGCTGAGACACATCATCTCACGTCCGTGCGGGCATGTGCTCACAACGCTAAGATCACCGCCGGGCGACACCGGCACCGACCCACCGACGTGATGGTCAATGCGCCCTATGTACTAATCAAGAACCGTGGAGGTCCGTGTATGTACATGACTGGAATGTATGTCGATGTCACTGTGACGTAGAGCTAGCCTTAGCGAATGACCATGACGGTGCGCGAGAGCGAAGTCAGGCGAGGGCACGCATATGGGGAAGCGAACAATGGGAAAGCGAGAAAAGAAAGCGAGCAAAAGAAGGCGAGAAGTGAAGGAAAGGAAGGGAAGAAGAGAACAAAGGCATGCAAATCGCGATCAATCGATCGATGATGAACGTCCCGCGATGCTCGACCAAACGCAGCCACTGATTGGGCCGACGAGGTTGCAATGGGGTCATGTCACCTACGAGTAGCTACCCTACTGGTTCACAGATTCTCACTCTCAGTGTTTCTCCCACCTCCCCCGGGATGTGGCCCGTGAGCGATGGATGGCGTTATTTAGAGTACTTAGCGCATGCAGTTTTTCTATTTTTGTTTTTTCTTACTCAACTCTATTGTTTCCCACTATTAATTTCTCTTCTCCCGATGTTCAACAACCTTCACCGTACCACCCCCTCGTCTTTGTTACGTGAAAGAAAGAATAAACTCCTCCTCATTCGCCTCAATTCCGGGCCTCCACCCCCAACCGGCCGCGGTACGTACGTTGGTCATCAAGCTTACAACACAAACACGAGATTTCGAAATTCCCCCATGGGGTTGGGGAAACAAAAGGTACTCTATCCATCGGCCGCTACCATCACCATCGGTGATTTCGCCACTGACTGGCTGGCTGGGCCGGCGTCAAATGAGAATGATAGCCTCCTGGCTAGGAGCTCTGAGTACTGTACACGTGAATGTGAAGCTGTGTGTGCACCCGAGTACTGTGAATACCTTACTTACGTTCACCGTGTGTGTGTTTACTCTAGCTACTCAACACTTACCTTACAGCAAAGTACGCGTAGTGTGCTGGCCGGTATATAGCAAGTAGTAAAAGTCTCCGAGGGGGGCAATGGCGCGCTGTGGATCCTCTCAACTTCTTGATAGACGTTGTTGAGCTGCGAGGTGCTGCTAGCTGCGAGGTAATGATGGGCATGCCTGCGGTGTGTGGCTATCCACAACCGTTTTTTTTACCTACCACCCACCACCACCACCACCACCACCACCACCACCATCTGATACTGTAGAGTGGGTTGTCTCCTCTGTCTAAGGCACTGTATGTACGGATCTGCCTGGGTTGGGGTCGGGGAGTAGCCAATCCAATCTACTCACAATGTGATATGTGTGTAGAGCCTGCTGCTGCTTGCTGCTTCTGATAACACTCACCAACCTGAAGCACGGTAGATCCTCTCTCCACTCTATCTCTATCTAGCAACCTACCACTCTACCTACCTACCGTACCCACTCAAAGCGATTGCGCAAGAAAGCAAAAAAGGTCAAAGAAGCAAGAAAGAAAGCTTCCGTGCAGCAAATCCATGCCGGCAATCACTTTGCTGCGTGTGTTCTGGATCATTCCTCCAACCAAGGCCTTTTTGGCCAAATCCGCTTGCAAAAGTTGAGCATCAATCAATCAAACACAAGGGACCGTCCCATGTGAACAAAAAAATCGGGTTTCCAGAAGGGGGCCGGATGCGGCCGGGCGCCGAAGCGAGCTTCGGCTTTACTTTAGTTAGAGTAGGGCCCTGCGCCCATGTGGGCGGATTGGAGACTGGGCTGGGGGTTTAGATGGCGAGGTGGTAGTTGTGCGGAGAGAGGAGGAGAGGGGACACGAGGGGACACGAGGGGCGAATGGGGAGTAGCTAAGTACAGTACCATAGCTAGAAGCTAGAGTTGAGATGTAGTTAGATCTAGGTTGGATTACCGCACAGTACGTTTTTTTTTTCCTCTCAGATCTTTGTTTTTGTGTTTATCTCGCAGGGCAAAAAAGAAACGAACTCTATGCTGCGCCGCCGCCGCTGCTGCGTGTGTATCTCGCACTCCAGTACTCAATCTCGCACGGAGGAGATATGCGGTTGGGAACTTGATGTAGGTTGCTGGTAGGCAAGATAAACACCCCCCCCCTCTCCTCTCCTCTCTAGGTATTCCTTTTCCTGCGGGCGGTGCGAACAAACTCATATTTCCTGCGAGCTGTCAAATGCCTTCTTGATTGTGCCTGCAGCTGTTATTGGATGCGCCGCCAAGGCTGTGCTAAGGTCGTGGTACAATAGGCAGATTAGCCATGACAATGGGGAGCGCCAGAACAGACGAGACGAGCAACCGGCGCCGGCGGCGTAAGCTCTGGTCTCGCGAGAAGTCCGGATGAGGGGTAAAAATAAAAAAAACAATTTGTTCCCCCGACCTCGCACATACTACCGTAGTATGTTGGGAGAGGGAGGGGGAGGGGGGAGGGGGGGAAGGGTGACACTGTATACATAAGGGATCCCATATTACTTTCACACAGCTAGCAAGCAGAAGCATTGAAAA